TCAAAAAAAAAAAAAAAAAAGCTTAGAAAACCAATTCTAACCAAAACCATCGAAAAATGAATTCCATCAAAACCAAGAAAGTGGCACGTGTGGGGCTTTGGGTGGAAAATTAATTGCCAAGTAATGAATTCCAATCAAACATGCCATTTGGTGGATATGAAATTTCTTTTCCATTTTTCATGGTATATTTGTTGAATCAAACAGGGCCTAAGGAAAATTGAAGCAAAAACTCCAGATCTTTGAAATACTAACAAACTTTCTCCAAACCTTTCATTTGTTGTAGTCGTCACCCCTAACATTTCCAAATATTATAGACGATTTTTTAATGTTTTTAAAAAGGGGCAAATGAATAATTTTCTATTTATCACATTAAACACATGTTTGTCTACCATTTTTACAAACATTGTTTTCTACAGTAAATAATTTCAACCACATATTCACTCAATAAAATATTCCACACACAAACCAATAAAGTTACTTTAAATTTCAACCACACATTCTCCAAAAAAAACTATCCCTTAATCCATTTTCTACCAATAATGGTAGACAAACATGCTCTAAATAACTAAATTAACTAGATTGAAAAATAAGAAATAAGACAAAACAAAACAATCATATTCTTCATCTCACCCCCCAACTCCCACCCCCACCTCAAACCTAGAATCAACTATCCAACCGCCGCCGCCTCTACCAACCACCTATTGACCACCATCATCCACCTGATCATAATCGCCACCCAACAACCTCCACCACCCGACTTCAAATCTTAGCCCTTGTTTGACATCCATTCTGTATGAAAAATAATTTTTGGAATAGTGATTGATGGAAGATTGTTTGGTTAAAAAGTAAGGAGAATTTTTGAGTTTACATGTACTATTATTTTATTAATATAATGTGTAATTGAAATGAAGAAAGAGAAAAAAATGGATTTCAAACAGGGACTTAAATTAAAATCAAAATACAAGCCATATAAAACCAAAATTTGATAAACAGGTGCCCAACAAGCAGTAAATAAGCTTCGCAATAGCCATTACGGTCTATTCAAGTACAAAAAACTCCACGTGAATTCTAATCTTGAACTTCTATGATATTTTCTCGTTCCCTTCGAATTGGTTTCCAAATTCAAAAGAATTTTGCCTTACCTTTTGTAAAAAACTTTCCATTTTTTATTTTGGATTCAACGGCATCTTTCATCTCTATAGCACCTTCCATTTTCCTTGATATGGTTTGTAAATTCAACGAAATTTTGCCTTGCCTCTTCGTTGATTTAGCAGCATCTTCCATTTTCCTTAATAGCATCTATCAATTTACCTCTCACTTCATCTACCATCACTCTAATCTTGTTCACTAAGTTTCCGGACCTTTCAATGGTTTCTTCGACTGAGAGTTGCTTTCCAGTAGCAAACCAAAATACATGGGGAAAATACAAGCTATCCACCCCATGTATTTTGGTTTTAATTTAGGATTTGAGATTGGGTGGTGGAGGTTGTTGGGTGGCAATTGTGGAGATGGCAAAAAAATTCGACAAACCTGATACCCACGAGGCCTCGCTCCGAACGGGGTTGGGAAAACCCGCTTAAACGGGTAACAGGGCGGAGACGGGTAATGGGGTCCCCGCCCCGTTTAAAAAAAGAAAAAAAATTCAGAATTCAATACTTTAAATGAAATTTTTTATTAGTTCTAATAGAAAATAGCAACTAAAATTATTTGTCTAAATCTAATGAATATGGGCAATAAAAATAAATTATCAAAAACTAAAAAAAAAAAAAAATCATGCTGTCGCGTGGGTTTATACCATGCAGTCGCATGGTTCAATATGGGCGCGAAAATTCTGATTTCCTT